CCTTGAAGATGGCAGTAATTGTGCATATTAAAGAAAAATAGGGATTAGAATGGAATTCTATACCGAGTCTGTGGATAAAGACTTGCATATTTCAACAAGGCCAGTTTATTCAAATCTTTCAAGTCTTTATAAACAAACACTTCCACAAAGTTAATCCCAAACAAATGGAAGCAACACAGCAAGAACTTTGTTTCCAACATTTCACATGCCAGAATAACAAAAGAAAATGTTGGTTTGCATAACTAAATCAGGCCAGGCTAAAAGAAAAAAGCTGAGAATACAAGATTTCTTTGTAGATTTGATAAGAATGAAAACTGATCACAACCTCTGACGTGACATTAGGTCTGGACATAATCAAACACTTGAGACAGAGGCAAGCCCTGGGCCTCAGATCACTGTAACCTTCATTACCCAGCATTAGTAAGGGCAGTGGCAGCTTCACATTACAGAAGTCATTGGGACCAAAGAGGATTTTATTTCTACTCACAGTAAAGTTTAAGAAATTATATCACAAGGGGATTTTTAATCACTACAGACAGGAGGAAACTCTGATCTCACAGCTGATCCTGCTTTGAGCAAGAGGTTGGAGTCGGTGACATCCTGACAACCCTTCCAGACTGATCTGTTTTACAAAACAAGGTAAGGAAACACCAGAAGGGCTTGGAGGGGAAGATGGAAAAGGCATTAAAGTGTTCCTCTACCTGAATACACAGCAGAAGCAAGCAGAAAGTATGAATTGTTACCTTGGTTGAGTGACAATAACATATGGGTAAAAATTATTAAAATCTTGTAATAGTTTAATTTAAATAGCATTAAAGTGACACAGCTTTTAAACTATCATTTATCAAAAAAAAAAAAAATCATGTGTTGCACTGTGCAAGCAATTCAACTAGTATTTCATATCATAGTACATCCTGAGTTGGAAGAGACCCACAAGGATTGTTGGAAGGGACCCACAAGCTCCTGGCCCTGCACAGAACAAGCCCAGAATGGCACCCTGTGCCTGAGAGCATTGTCCAACTCTTCCTGAGCTCTGTCAGGCTGGTGCCGTGCCCACTGTCCTGGGGAACCTGTTCCAGTGCCCAACCACCCTCTGGCTGCAGAACCTTTTTCCTGATATCCAACCTAAACCTCCCCTGGCACAGCTCCAACCACTTCTTCAGGGCCTGTCACTGGTCACCACAGAGGAAAAAGAAAAAAAATACACACCAATTTATTCTGTCCTTTCTCTACTTCCTAATCATCTGAAGGTAGCTCTTTGTCCAGTATATTATACCTAATGGAAACTACTGATTTCAGGATTTACAGTAACTAACAAAACAACAAAAGCCACTGAACACCAGAAATAAAATACTGACCATCATGCCAGTACACAGGAGCTTCACATAACCAAAATGCAAAGTCTACTACACAAGCCATGTAAATGCTACAAGCAAGGCTGGAAACCACTCAGGATATTAAGGCAGGCATTGCCATTTCTGAGAATTCAAAACAATAGGTGTTAAAACTACTAAAAATGTTTATTTTGCATCATAACAAGAGAAACATCAAATATTTATACAATAATTAGGAAAGAGTAGGTTTTTTTTTAACACTGTCAACACATCACATTTTTTGATGGTCAGAGAGGCAAAACTGAAAAGCCACAGGAAGGGCAGGAGAGTCCAAGCCACCCATTTGTGTCCCCTTACCTGCTCACTCTCCAGCACCTGTAGCACTACTGAATTTCAACAAGGACTACCCAAGAGCTTCCCCCACCACAGAGTGTCACATATGGATACATCTCATCCCAAACTCCCTTCAAAATACACAGGAATAGTCTTGACAGCTTCATATATTCTAGCTTCTGTTGTACCTGAGGAGAAGCTGTGCCAGGGGGCTTTACTTTGCTTCCACTTAATTTCCAAATGTCCAGCTTTGTAACCAATGACTGACTGACTGGAAATTTTACTTCTTTCTAAACCAGTCACGCTGGGGTTTTTTAGGAGTCAATCAAACAGAATTCCTAATGCACCTTTCACGTGAGTGTCATCTTAAAAGAGAAATTGGAGTTCAGAGATGGTTGCACTGAGGGATACTGACAGGAATGCTAAACAAACAAAACAGGAAGATTTGATAGTAGATTTCAATCTAAGTAGATTACAATTTTCAGAAATTTTTACTGAAAGAGTTCAAATTTTTAAGTTCTATTGTACAGTGCTAAAGACCTACTAACACAGAACACTGCATTAAACAAAACATACAATTATTTTTTGTTGAATTAAATAGCTACAAACAAAAACAAAACACAGAACTGCACACTTACCAAATTTTAAAAAAGCATGCGCAGAGGAGGCTCTGTCATCATCCAAATTGGCCATTTCAAATTGGTGCAGCTAATCACAAACGGCTCAGGCTAAGCTACAGTAATTTTCAAAACTGTTTAGTAAATGTTAAAGGCAATCAGCATTAAATTAAGTGAAAGCAATGTTAGTGGAGTTATTAACACAACAGAGTGCACAGCACAAACTTTCATTACATCTTATGTTTCCTTCTTCTACACTGACCTCTTGGTTTTATTTTGCTTTTACCTCCATAAAACTTAGTAGCTTACTCCATCTGAGTGAAAGGACACAGTTTACAAAAAACCCATCTTTTGGATATTTGACAGGAGCTTTGTTATTCAATAGGAAATTTGCTACAAACACCAAAAGGTGATGAATACAATCTATTTCAAGATGAAATAAAAATACTGATTTAACTAGTGCACACTAAAGTTAAGTAACAATAATAAGGGGCTAAAACTCTGCTTATGCATAGTGCTGCTTTCATCCCATGTGAAATCTACACCAGGATGTTCCCTGCAGTCATATACATTGCTTATGGCACTGAATGTCTCAGTTATTAGGGGTATGTCATCTTCCACTTTGGGATATACAATAGGAAAAACATGTCTGCAATTACGATTACAAGTTTTTCCAAATCTTTAAAGTTTATATTTTTTAAAGTAAGAAAAATTTTTGGGGCTTTAGACTAATCAACTTCTATATTTAGAATCTGCTCCTTCCTAATCAGAGTAGCAACAAATGAAACAGTATTTTATTGCTTCAGGAAGGAAAAATGAAAATTTCTGAATGAAATTTGGTTTTACTGGAAAAAAAGTAATTCACAACTTAATACATATAAACATGAGGATACAAATTCCCTCCTACAGGATTGAGTCTTACATGATCATTGCTGCAGGCTATAAAACAGGAGCCACTGGTGCATTTCAGGCACGTGTGTCTGTACTCCATGTTCACCACATCTTACTCCAAGAAGCACACTCGTAAAAAAACCCCAAACGAGACAAAACAGTGATGTCTGTGAGCTGGGACTCCAGCACAGGCCTCAGCCAAACCAGGAAAATGTGAGGGACTTTCAGTCACTTCCTTTGATAATCCAAACCATGTCTCCTTCTGACAGGGCCAGGAAGGAAGAAAAAAGCCCTGAAGTTATAAAAATTTCAACATAAAGATGCAGCAGTAAACTTGAAATATAAGAACATGATTTTTATTTTTAGATATGAATGTTACCTGAAAGACATTAAATAAAATTTGACCTTTAAAACAACTCTTTCATCAGAAAAACTTTTCAACTGAAATAATGTTTATTTCTTGAGCAAATTTTTTCAGTCATTATATAGACAAGTCTAGACAAAATCTGTACAAACTCTGCGCGAACTGGGAAAGATGAGCTACAATCTGTCATTGCTCAGCACGCAATTCTTTATGCACGTAACAAAAAAGTAACAGGCAGCAGCAGCAGCAGCAAAGAAAAAGTTTGAAACCATCAAACGCGCTCTGCAGGCGGGCCTGACCCCGCAGGGGATTGACTCCCAAGGCGCTGCCCGAGGCTGGGATTGCCGCAGCTCCAGCCCCGGCTCCGTCTGTCACCCACGATCACACTGCCAGCAACAGCGCCTGCCGCGGCACTGCCCACAATCCAGCACACACTGAGCTCTAAAGCCAAATTAACCAGACCAGACTGTACACAATCAATTCTTTAGAGCCCTCATAAAGCCCCGTTTTGGTCTCACAGTGTCTGATCGGCTACTAGCACAACAAAATCAACCAAACATACAAATAAGCAACAACTGAGTGTTACAAGCATGTGTGGTGTATAAACACAGGCAGGGACCTTCTGGAAAAGTTTCTCCGTTAGAACAATTAAACGCCTGGTATGACTGTATTTTACTTTAAAAAAAACCAAACTCAAACTCCAAGTTTTCTGAAGTTCAGAAATTCAGGCTAACTCGGCAAACATCACCCTTTGGTTTAGGCCAGAACGCAGCCGCCGCACGTTCAGAACACGAAATTCCCACTCTGTGAAACAGTTAGCTTCGCCTGAGGGAAACCTGCCAAGAGCTGGTACTTTCCTCTAAGCACTGTATCTGTTCCACAGCCGCACGCTCCGTACGGCTGCGGTGTATGAACGCGCCAGAGCGGCTGCCTTTGCTGCCGCGGGCACGGTGACACCTGAGCGCACCGGGGCTGTGCCCGCCGGGGCCGCGGGGCCGCCACCCCGGGTGTCCCCTGCGCCCCTCAGGGCCGGGCCCGCCCGGGCACCGCCACCCGCGAGAGGCGCGGCGGGGACGGGGAAACAGCCCCGGGCCGGGCCGGGAGCGGGGCAGGTGAGTGGCGGGAGGCACAGGGATCCCCGGAGCTCCTCCCGGGCAAGCCAAGAGGTCAGACCTGAGCGTTTGGAGCGAGCGCGCAGCTCCAGCATCTTCCAGCTCACGTCAGCCATGTGAGTCGCCGCCATGGCGGAGCGCTCCCGGAGAGCCCCCGGCGCGGGTGCGCGGCGCCGGGCGGGCCCAGCCTGGCTCCCGCCGTAAAGCGCTCGCGCAGGCTCCGCCGCCGCTGCCGCAAACGGCGCT